TGMYGCTATCATTTAAGCTTTTAGTTCCACCCCTGATTTTACTCCACGCTTGCAGCCAGCAATTGCTAATCTCTTTTATTGTCTGTTCAGATTTCTAGTTTCTAAAGTTACCATGTAGGAAGGCATCTTCTTACTCAGCAGATTTGCCCTATGTTTGCATTCATTGTGAGAGCTGCTGACTTCAGTGACAGGCAAGTTTTTACTGCTTTTTGTTCCAGCCAGCGCTGCAAAGCTCACATAGCTGAGAGCTGGCAGCTAAACCAGTCCCTTCTGCATCACCACCGGGACTGGCTACAGCCTGTGACTCCTCTGAAAGTATTCAGGAGAAAATCAGAACTACCAAAACTACCACTTGACCCCGTATCTTTCAGTTTTCCTCAGGGTTTTAATTCATCTAATCAGAAAAGTGTGAACTATGAAAAAAAATCAGTCACAAGCAGGTTTTTTTCATATTATTTTTGAACATTAATGACTAAATGTTCATTCTTTCTCACAGTAACCTCACAGCTTTCATCTGCAGCTCATGCTGGCACTGTACTCTTCTGCTAAATTCTGGTTCATAAGTGTGGTCTTAATTTGAGATTTCCTACAGGAGCTCAGCACACCTAGAAGACAAACACAACAGGGAATTAAAGTATTCAGCAACATTTCTATGCCAGATGCTTTGGGCAGTTGGTGGAGTGGCTGGAGCTGTCCCTGGGTAGATGTAAGGTCAYTGCCCTGCAGACCTTGGCACTGCTTCCTGCAGGCATGAACGGGTGGCTGAGCTTTACTGCCCAGCACTGGACACTACCCCATCTCTCCCAGGGGAACACCTCCTTGCTCAGTTCACTGGCCCTTTTTGAAGGAAGAGTTGGTCTGAGTTGACCAAAGGACAAAAATAAGCCAACAGAGAGAGAGCAAGTTGTAGTCCTGTCCTATTTGTGGGCTGGTTTGCCTTAGCTGTGTCATCTGTGCTCACTGCTGTAATCTGCTGTGATGGGGAAACTGCTTTAACATCTCCCCGGACAACACTGTGCCAGCAGGAGATTTTGACTCATGAGATCAAATGCAATATTTGTCTTATATGGCTTAACAAAGAAAGTGCCTCCTGTTGGAACGCTCCTTGTGCCTGGGTCTGGGCAGCTACAAACACCAATATTTTCCTTTTCATATTTCTGTTTAACAACAGAAGCAATAAAATTCCTACTACAACTAAGCAGTTCGATGCCTACATGACCACAAACTCTCCCTCTTTAATTTGTCAGGATTCATTATTTTAACACATTTCCTAGTCATTAATTGGGTTAGAGATAGTGCAGACTTCTGATAACATATCTAAATTCATACATTACTGATAAACTCCCCGAACCACAGTTTAAAGGCACTGCCAGTTGTAACTTTGTCAAATACACCATATTAGTAAATATGAGGCYACTGAACACTACTTGGCCAACCATTTCAGAAGCATTATCTTGAGAAAGACAGAAAGGCCATCCAGGAGCACAGGACGTTGCCAGCCAACATAAACAAAGCTATGCCTACTTTGCTGCAGGGCAGCAATTTTTCTTCTGTCACCAACACAGACTTTTTTTTCTTGACTCGAGCCATCCAAACTTCYCCAGTTTCTGTGGTTCTTTTCAGACCCATACAAACCCTTTTCTATGCTTAGATTTTTGGGTCTGCAAACAAGCTGCACATACCTTCCAAAGAAATAGTAACTTGTAATACTTGAGCAGACAGCTTTTCAAGCCAGTAGTAAGAGCTCTCTTCGAAGCGCTATCAGTGGCTGGAACAACAGCATGCTGTCCAGGTTGCTGTCTGTAAATAACCTGATTTACCTTACGCTGCATTTCAGCCTCAGCCYTGGCCAGACCAGTCTATATGTTTCCTGGAAAGAAAGATTTTAAAAATCAGATTGACATCAACAGCTCTGACTCAAGKTTTTGCTCCATGGGCAGCTGGCAATGCATCCAGGACTGTTAAACTGTGCTAGGGCTATAAAATCTAGAATTTTGATACTCTTATGAACCAAAGAGAGGGATTTTCAAAAGATTAGTGAAATCACTTGACTGGGGTTGTTTATAGAATTTGTCTAAAATGTTACCAACATCTCTAGAAAGCAAACTGAGAGGCAGAAGTCTTCCCTGGGATGAAATGTAACAGCCTCAGGAAAAGGAAAGAAGCTGAAAATTCAGTRTAACTGGACCTTTCCAAGGTGAACTCTATTTTTGAGATCACAGCCACAAACCCAGGATGAAGATTGCAGTTGCTTTCCAAACTAGGGAATTTTTCTGGTGTTAGAACATTTATATCTCCTTTAGCTTAAACCAGAAACAGTCCTCTTTGCTCAGTCAGTTTTGCACTGAGCATTTCACCCTTATCCGASAAAATGAATAGCATCATTTAGTTCTTTCATCCCTGTGGTCTGGAAAAAGCTGTTACAGCAGCATGGCCTGGTCACAAACAGCTTGAGCTGGGTTCCCACATGCTGCTACATCCCATCCCACCCGATCTAACAAGCTCAGAAACGGGAAAGGGGTTTTGGCCACATGATCTGTTCTCCTGTTTTGGCTTCACATGGCTGTGTTTTAACAGCACAGTGTCATGGAACAGAAAAGGAGAGGAATGAGCACCTCTGGGTGGGAAACAGGAGATGTGGGGAGGGAGTTATTTACAGCAGTTTAAAGCGTCCCCATTGGAATATGTGCAATCACAATACTATGCTCAATTAGCTTAGCCCTAAGATGTGGTAGTAGGGTCCTGGAGCCCAAATCCATTGTCAAACGGACACATAATCATTATCCAGGTCCCCACAGGCTCCACCCTTCCCTGTTMCCAGTGCCAGGTCCCAGCCCATCCTCCAGCTCTGCTGGTAGGAGCTGCTGGGTGTCACCGCTGGTGTGGAGAAAGCTGGAGCTGCAGGCACCGCAGGGTACCAGCAGCACAGGCAGCTGAGCGTGGCTGGAGCAGTGCTGGAGCTGCCGTCCAGGGCAGGCTGGGAGCAGTGGTAATTGCTCTACAAACCTATTAACTGCAGGGAATTACAGCAATTTGCACCGGCCAGCTCTGCCTTCAGACAGAGTCCCCAGAGCCCAGCTAAGGGGCTGCCACGACGCTGCACTCCTGGCAGGGTGTCATTAACTCTTCTTCTCAGAGAAGCCCCTTTTGTCCTTGTAGTCCTTGCTCCGGGTGTTTTTGATCTGGTGTCACTGTATGTATGTTTAGACACTTTTTTCTCACGCCAAACTCCCGACCCAATTACAACTGTATTCAGAGTTTAAGTGTGTTACATTAACTCTATTAAGACCCACCATAAAAATGTTCACCTTTGGCACATTTGGTCACTTAGTAGATTCTTGTTTCATTTTGAACCTGCATACAGGTACCATCTCCATCGCCTTCTCACAGGAGATTCACTCCTTCCATGAGCAGATGGGCTGAGCCCTTGGGTTGCTAATGAACTTTCTCTCCAGGGAGCCTTCCTGTACAGGAAAAGCACACCTTGACAAAGGGATTTTTACACAGATCTCATCTGGTCATAAAACAAAACCACCAAAGTGAAGGGAGTGTAATTATTTGCTATATTAGCAATTTTTTCACCTTCCAKCCACCTTCCAGTGCTTCACTGGCCCGAATCAGTGATGCACTTTTGCCARGTTGTTTCACAGTGCCCTGGAGGCAGCCTCCAGATATCTACCCCTACCCTTGAAGGCACATCACACCAGAATGAAGACAAACCCTGCCATGAATTTGTGGAGATGGWTGACACCCCAACATCCTCCCCTGTTCCTGGAGATAACCACAGGCAGTTTGGAAGAGCATCCTCACAGGGATCTGGCAAAGTGCATTYGCTAGCTCTCCCATGCCCATTTGCTGCTACTGGAAGGTGTGAAAAATACCTAAGTGGTTTTGGTCAGTCAGCCCACTGTTCGCTAGATGCAAGCTACCAGATCTTGTTGGTACTTCTAACAAACCACAGAGCTACAGAGAAAGATATACCTGGTCCCAGACGTACTCTTTCTCTCACATACAGTGTAAAGACTTCATGGTTTGGAGTTAGGATTTACTGCAGCTCCTTCATGCCA